AATGCTGCTACTGGTTCATTTTTGTAGTTTGTTTGTTAGGATCCATGTACTTCTAATCTTAATGCTGAAGTGAATGTATGGGTAATGATGTTTCAATCCAGGCAGTCTGAGGTAATTTGGGGGAAATTGGACAGATACTTCACCCTGTACAAATCGGCCATTTGATTCCCTTACCAATTACATTACAGGACCTCCTCTGGCAAAACAAATCGAACTCAAATAGGGCTCAAGAGAACAATATTCATTATACTTGATGCATTTAAAACATACATTTCCTATATCCTATTGTCATTGTTCACAATTTGCAATTTGACTTTGTGACTTTGTGTATACATTTACTTCACTTTGTGACTATAAGCAGCGCAGGAAGCGTCATAAACTCGGTGAGCAATCTGTCGAAGCATCTAATCTAATGGCAGTCTGAAACAGATGGATAATGTGCTGAAGAAGAGAGATCCTCATCTTCACCTAAACAGACCAGACTCTTTTTCAGGAACAGCTCTCTTTTTTTTTGGACTGTTTCTACTGGCTAGGTTCTCGGTTTTCAAACAGCTCAAACGCTGATCTTAATAACATGCACACAGCATATAATTTAGCTAATCACTGGTTTAGATTTTGGAAGAAACATGCTTATTGGCTCACTGATGCTGACAAGACCAATTACTTAGGTATTGAAATTTGTTATTGAATGATGCAGCATTTCACTGGTGGCACAGAAGTAATTTGGTTGATAATACTTAAAAAAATGGTTCTTCAAAGGGCTACCCAAAAGGGTTTTGCTGTTGTCAAGCCTGTAACGATAGAAGAACCCTTTTTGGTGCTGTATAGAACTGTTTTCAAAAAGGTTCTGTACAAAACCATATGAAACACATTCTCCATCAACCTGAAGAACCATTTCACCATGCAAAGAACCATTTAAGCATGAAATGGTTCTATACTCAATTCTTGGTTCTAAATAGAACCATTGCCTTTACTAAAGAACTCTTGAAGAACTATCTTTTTAAGTGTGTAGGGATGCACCAATACCACTTTTTCCTTCCGATACCAATACCTGATTATTTAATATCAGCTGATACTAAGTACCGACATCGACACTATACTGTAACTATAACCTAGAAGTCCTGATTTAGTTTGGTAAAAATGTGTTTTGTTTCACAAATAGCTTGAATGAATGTGATTTACTTGTGGGATTATGTGAAGCTAAATCAAGGCTAAAGGCTTTTATTAGAGTCCGGCAGTTGCTTCCATAGCTCTCTCTAACGCTCACTCCTTCGATAACAAACTGGACTAACACTAACTCTTAATGTAACTGACTGAACAGCAGGAGATGAGTGAAAGAAGCCTGACTCAGCCATTCAGGTAAAGAGCTACCGTTAGTGCCTTGCACTGTTTGGACACCAGTTTATTTGTAGCATACTGGTGAAACTAATACCTTAGGAAGAATTCCAATTAGTATATCATCCACTACCTTCCCACAAAATACTGGTGTTACAGATTCTGCCATGAGCATTTTTATTACCGAGTTCCATTTACTGGCATATTAGTCAGAAATTGTGTTGTAGTATCAGTATCCCCAGTGGCGATACTGCGTTTAAGTGCCAGTATCAGCACCAGTACTGCTACGGTATCGGTGGAACCCTTGTTGATACTGTCAAAGTATTGACATTTGATGCCCAGCTCTACTCAAGTAGCTTTGTGTGTGAAAATGAATCCACAAAAATGCCTATTTTTTCTCTGCCCTGCTCTCTGTCTTGAGTGAATTATTCTGAAAAGCTTGGTCATAAATAAGCGAATCACGCTTGCCCTCATCCAAACGCCAAAATGCAAATATACATATTTTAATTCCCCTCTTTTTTTTGATTTGCCACTTTCATATTCATTACATCACTGTGTTGGGCTCCAGTGTGTGTGCGGATTCAAATGTAAATTGCCTCCCAGTGATTTATTAATACCTTAATAACATGGTGCTTTTAAGCACAATGATAAGTTTAATTCCTCAAAATGGGTAATTCTTTATAATCTTATCTTCCACTGAGACTTCGGGCCCAATTTAAGTGTTTCTCAGCTATTAAAAGAAAGGCTTTTAAATCCTGCCATCACAGAAAAGAAGCATATCTTCATAGCGTGCAGTGAGGAAAGAGAAACAGAAGAGAAGTGGATGAGTGCCACCCTATGGATACCTTCACACATTTGAACTTTTTTATTTAGGTCCATAAGTTAAAACAGATTAGAAAGGGCCCAAAAAGTGTCCTTGAGCATGTACCCACAGTAAACACTTCGTACAGTAGCAAAATGATGGATGCTTTGGAATATATAAAAGACCTGTGTTCTAATTTTTTTTGTCCCCCAAATTTAGTTGTGGCCAGATCCTTCCCGCCAGCTAGTTCTCCTCATATATACTAGCACACCCTTCCTCCAATGCTAACCATACACTAGAAGACTTTGACAAGAATTTGTAAAGACTTTTGAAAGACTAAGTCTGACACCCTCTCACATCTAAAGACAATGTCACAGTTTTTAGTCACAGACTATGATTTTGCAAAGACTGGGGATCTTGCAGGGTCACTATTTGCAAGACTGCAGCTAGAGTTTTGAGTTTATTTCCCATCATGCACCTGGTGGAAATTTACAAGCAGATAAACCCTTTCCTTCCACTATATAGTGATACAGATCGGAAGATATATTGGCTGGGCATGTAAAGATCTGGGGTTCAGCCCAGTTCACTATGGAATTGTGTATTCTGGCAGATCATCACCCAGATTTTGTTTTTCATTAATCTGTAAAATGTGCAGTGACTTTTTTATTTAACGTAAAGATTTACGCATCAACAAAACATGCAGCGATTCAGCACTGTCAATTACGTGTTGTGAACTAAACCATTAGAGACAAAATAAGAAACCAGTGTAACGAGAAGCAAAAAAAAGCGAAAAAAGCATTGATGATTCTTCAGTAATGCTATTCTTAAAGTCCTCTGCACATTTCCTTACATCACTGTTACACTCAGTGAACTTCAAATATTAAAACAGCCAGTTCACATTATTAAGTTAATATGATTGTTGCTTGAAAGGGGGACAGATTTGCCTACAGAGATTTCAGGCACTCACACATGCATTTTCTCCCTTGCTCTCTCTCTCTCTCTCTCTCTCTCTCTCTTTCTCTCTCTCGCCCTATTGTGCCACGCGCATGCGCTCACTCTCAGGCTCGCCCCGGCACGTCACTATTTGCATGAAACAAAACTTCAAACTTATGTTAATATTAAACACTTGATTTTGTCGTAGCGTCAAGACGAGAAAAAGACTGATTTAAGACAGCTAAAGCTAACAGGCTATGCTCCTCTCACCTCACTAGATAGCAAAGCTTACAGCATAGATAGAGATAAAAGCTCAGATTCAGGTGACTGACATTCATAAATCATTCTCAAATAGAGCTTTTTTTAGCATGAGCAAACCAGTATCGTTAATATAGCTTTCATGCTTGGTTTAAGGGAGTCTGACCTTGTGCTAGCTAGCTAGCTAACAAACTTGGCGTACAAGTTTAGAGTTTTAATGACCCAAAAACCAGCTGGATAGACAGTCAGTACAGAGTTGCATTATGTGTACTTTATTTTAAGAAATAGTACCTTCAGTCCTTCATCTTCAGCGGTCTGTGTTGCGATGTCAGAGCAGAAAACAGAAACTCTTGTTTCTCTTGTTTACTCTTATAAATATACTAATTATATCCTGACACTATATACATTGATATACAAATTATGTGATTAAAGAGCACATGGGTCGTACTACAAAAATAAGTTTAAAACACTTTTTGGCAAAACAGACTAGCATACTGAAATTATATCATAAGAGTGGTAAAAATAACACATGACTAGTATATCTAGAATACATAAAGCATGATTTGAATATATATATATTAAGCACACAGTAATAGTGATTTAGTACAAATTAGTGGTTCCAAATTACATAACGTCACTATATCACTGTTTAAGCATTACTTAAGTATACTTTTTTACAAAAGAAAGTCATGTTATAATTTTTCAGGTAGCGTAACATCTATTACCTTGAGTACCAACACATTACAGAGGAATTCTCTTTGATGTAAGTACCCCAACGTCCTGTTCATGTCATGATGTTTTTGCCACTGTTAGGACATTTGATACAAAGATCAATCATATCAAATTAGTACAAGGACAAGGAGGATAATATTTAAGCTTTTTCAGCATACTTGTATTTTATATTTACACATTCCTTATGGCCCAGACATCACATTTATCACAAATAATATCATACTGCTAATACAGAATATTTCACTGCATAGCAGTGTTTCAACTGCACTTCAGTGAAGTACAGGTTTAACACATAAATAATATGTATTGTTAAGAAATACTTTGTTAAAGTATAGCTTTAGCATGAAATAAGCATAGTTCATTGAAATAACATTTGCAGCACAAAAGTAATCTTTCTGAAGTAAACTTCACTGAAGCACAGTTTTAACACAGCAGTAGTGCTCCTAGGACATACTTTGCAAAAGTATAGTTTTTTCATAAAATAAGCACAGTATATGTTTTTATAAATATATCATCGGTGCTAAATTAGCACACCCAAATGAAGTTGTTCAAAAATGTTCTTGGAGCATCCTGTATATAGTTTAAGTAGACTAATATTAAAGTATAGGGCTTTATCACAAGGGGAGGGAGGACCATCCTACCCACCCGAGAGAATGAGGCCAATTGTACTCTCTTGGACTTCCAACCAGGATGGCTGTGGCATCGCCGGAGATCAAAGTCTTGACGACAGGGCCAACTTTTAAACTGTTTCACCACTTGGGGAGCTGGTTCTGATTGGCTCCCCTGTATTGTGCATTGCTCCATACAAACTCTATGTACAGCAATCAGACAACTGGGACCTACAGGAAAAACAATGTTTATTGTGTGTTGTGTGTGGCATATAACACATTTTACAAAAGCTGTCATTAAAGGAAAAGATGCTTGTGTTGTCTGTCCATAGCTTGCCATGGTACGACAAGGAAAGACGGAAGGAAACTCAATGGACAGAATGGATGGCTCCAAGCCAACATGGAAGGTATGTAAAGTAGTTGCGGAAACGTCAATATCAAAACTTACAGGGTCTGTATTGAATTGTTTTGAGCTTGTTTTGGACATCATGTTCAGGTATAAAGCATTTAGTGCATTTAGTCCATTTATACTCATAGTAGACTGCTTACTTACCTACAGTGTTTTTATGTCTAACACCCTGCATATCAGTGGTTTTCAATCTTTGAGACGCAACCTGCAAAAACTACATTAAAAAAAAGGTTGGGGTACTTGGTCATGCTGTTAACTCATAATAATGTATTGTATGCATAAAAAACAGCAGTTAAATAATGTTTTTGCTAAAAAATAATTATGACTATAGCATTGATTTTCTCAGCACATTGTTTCCCCTCATTCTGCTCAAATTCAAGCTCCCTTCAGCAGCCTCATTATGTTAAATAGGCTCTCTGATGGTAAGATGTGTTCAAACATTAGTCAGCTGTAATCATTTGTTGAGCTATCTGATATACTGTAGGTATACAAGGTGTAATCTATGGATTTTAATATTATCTCTGTAGCTGAAAAAACTGAAATGTAACAAAAATGAAATTTTATTAAGTAAAGATTATTATTAGTAGTATTAAGATGAGGAGTTCTATTATAATCCAAAAGTAGAGGCCTTTGTCCTTTTTCTTCAGCAACCGTCTTCTAAGTCTGTGTCCAATTGTACATGTCTAATACAATTTGTAGTGCACCCAATCTTTTGATGGAAATTTTCTGACAGATTTCTACACCGTAATTATTCTACAGAACAACAACAATGTGAATTGACTTCACATTGGCCAACACTTCAATTCCCTGGCTAAACCAAAGACACGTCCAAAATTTTGGCCTTCTAAAAGAATTGGATCGTTCACTAGCTATATCAAAGCAATCACCAAAACAGCCTCCTTAAAATTTATATCTTATAAATATAGCCAGAGTCAAGGAGTTGGTGTCCCAGCAAGACCTAGAGAAGCTCATCCATGCCTTTATCTCCAGCAGTGTGGGCTACTATGATGGATCTTTTAACTGGACACCTGAAAAAGACCATTAAACAGCTACAGCTTATTCAGAATGCTGCTGCAAGAGTTTTAACCAGGACAGAGAACAGAACACATTAGTGCAGTTCTAGAACCTTTACACTGGCTTCCTGTTATTTATAGAATAGATTTTAAAGTGCTGTTACTAGTTTAAGCCCAGAGTGAATCTCTGACATGTTAAAAGAATATAAACGGAGTTGGTCTTTTAGATCCATGGATACAGGTCAGAGCCCAGAGTCCAAACTAAACATGGTAGCTGTTATGCTGCACCTCCCAGAAGATATTACATGTGCTCCCAATGTAGCGATTTTAAAATCCAGGTTAAAAACTTTTTTCTTTTCATGTGCCTATAAAGACTTGCACTTTATTCTTACTGCATTTTACCTTTAATAAGCTTATTTTAGTAACACTTATACCTTTTGGCTTCAAGTTCCTTTTTATGTTTTTATTTTCCTTTTTTATTGTACTTTGTACTTCTTTTTAATTATGTGGTTTTTTTTTTTTAACCTATTGTCACTTTACTTTTACGCTTATTGTTTTTCACTCTTAAGCACTTTGTCTTCATCTTTCTTTTGATTTTCCTTCTGCTTTTATTTATGTAAAGCACATTAAATCACCTTTGTGTATGAAATATGCTATATAGATAAACTTTGCCTTGCCTTGCTTTGCCTTACTGAAACTTTAGCAAATGTTTCGGTAGTGATAATTTTAGTTAATTTTGAGTGGAACTCAAAAACGCTAACCAGTACATGACTAGTAAGCACAGCTAGTACAACAGTACACATATAAAATCATAATACTTCATTAAAACACAATAAAGTTTACTTAATTACAGAAAATATGTAGTGACAATAGTGTGTAGTGACAATGTTTAATGTTACACACTGATTTTTAGACTTTGGGACACATTTACTACAAAACGATGAGATTTAACTGCTCACCATGTGGCTGTGAGGGAGAGCCGTGAGGGCTCTGCCGCTCGACTAAAAGACTGTACAAACGAATATTAGTAGACACTACAACCGAATAGTAGTAGACTCTACAACTGAATAGAGGCAGACTCTACAACCGAATAGAGGCAGACTCTACAACCGAATAGAGGTAGACTCTACAACCGAATAGAGGTAGACTTTACAACCGAATAGTAGTAGGCTCTACAACCGAAATCTTTCAACTTCACCTTAAAATAAATTTTAAAAATTGAAAAAAAAGCAACCATTATTTAAGCATTACCTTTATCTTCCAATATAAAGTACCCTATAAATGATTATGTATTAAATATTATATATTTAGCTTATTACTATCTTGATTAATGCCTTGGGTTTAAATAGAATATAATCCTTATAAGCATCTAAGGTCTGAATACTTGTTTTATTTATTTTTTTTACTCTACAGTTTGAACTAATTTAGTAGTCATCTGAATTGAAGTTCTAGCCATGTACATCCCATAAGATCCTTACATTCTTATGTTTATTACATATATGTTATACATACTATGTTCAGCGACAGCTTTTGCATCTGCCAGTATGTCTTTCATGCTTCAGTTAAAGTAGAAATTTGCTAAATATCACATTACCTGCCGCAGGGGGATGAATGACCTTCAGTCTCTGCTAAGCGGCTCTGTGTGAAAGAGTGAAATGCCAAGTCATTCTCAAATTACGCCAAGTTATAATCCAATAGCTTATTGTTATTACGCTGTTTGTTTGCGCTGTTCCAAAAAGGGATACCCCCTCCGCTCCAGTGCCTTTCCTGCAGATGGTGTTCTCCCAGGCTTTCACTATATGATGAACAGTATTGATTATGTTCCAAGCGGACACCCTTGCCCTTTCTGACTCATGTCAGCTCTGGGGAGCTCAATCGAGTTACACTTCCACAAGTGTGACTCAACTTAAATTGCCAGTCAATATAGCTGTAGCTAATTTGAGCACTGGTCCTTGTTTTAGAGGTGTAATCATAAGCCCTTTTGCTTTTAAGTGTTGGGGTATTGACAGGGTTTTTGAATGATTTTTTTCTGCAGCATGACTGTTTATCTTAATATAACTGGACCTTAAATGGAGCAGTGCTTACAGTATCTTACAGAAAACAGAAAACACGAGTCTTAGCAGCTGTTTCTACCCACAGGATTCATGCAACCGCTAAGTGCCGATTCTGAACAGGTGAAACAAATAACTCGCTCTATAGGGATGTAAAAAGCTACTGTTTTGCCTCTATATGGTTGTAGTATCCACCTCTATTTGGTTGGAGAGTCTACTTCTATTCGTTGCAGAGTCAACCTCTATTCAGTTGTGGAGTCTACCTCTATTTGGTTGGGTAGTCTACCTCTATTCGGTTGTAGAGTCTACCTCTTTTTGGATGTAGAGTCCACCTCTATTTGGTTGTGGATTCCACAGTTTGCTGAGACTGATTGAGCCATGTTTGAAAATTGACTCACACTCATTTCAGTCAGAAAAAACACACTTTATGTAGAAACAAAAAGCAAATTGTAAATAAGCTTGCAGTGCTCACTTCAGTTTATGTTGAGATATAGACTTAAACGTAACATTTTTGTTTGCTTTTATGTAGGTATCACCCTTTTGTTTATATTCTTTTTCATTTATTTTATGTCTCCTATGAAAATAAATCCAACAATAAAGTTATGTTAGCATTCCTTTTCTAAATCTGTACTGAAAATGTGTTGTATTGTGATACAAAAAGAACATTGGTATCTCAAGCAGTTAACTGAGTACTGGAGTGCTCCTGCACATCCCATATACCAGAAACTATTAGAGAAAGGAAATGTTAAGTAGAAAGGCATTCTTTCATTTCTGTCTCATCCTAATGATGAGTATTTCAGAGTACAATGGTCATAGTTTTCGATCCATTATATAGTTACATATTTCAAACATTTATTTGTGGAATTGTAGCAGCTGCCCATTTGTTCTATAGACCATATATTTCTCTTTGTGAAGCAGGCTGGGTGAAGAGTAAGAGAGTGGCTTAATGTTGTCCACATGTCTCTTAATTGGAGAACAGTGTGTGAGGCTGTTCAGTGGTGTGTGGAGGCCCTGAGTGTGTGGTCCAGTGTCACTGGAGCAGCAAGCGTGTCAGATCTACCAGCCCCATGCAGCAACCAAGCCGCCTTCCTCTGCTCTTATCGTTAGAGCTATGTGGGTGCTAGTGACTGGAATCTATAACGGCAGGATATTTAAAATAATTGTTGATAAACACATTTGTCCTACACTGAAATATGTTATGGTTGTGACAAGTAATAGAATATGTTCAGGTCTGAGGACATGTTTGGTGTCCAAAATTTGCAAAATTTACACTGGAGCTACGAAGCTAATGTAGTTAACATGCAGAATAACTTTTTCATCCCAGAACCATCCCGAAACATTTCATCAGCTGACCCAAATTGAAAATTGACTGTCTAAAATATTAAACTGTTTATTTACATTACGTTGCTCTCTCGATTTTTTTGTATGTTATGGATTCTTAGAAACGACAAATGTCAGATAGCACACAAGCATGCAAACATCCACTCACAAACAATGCATACAAACACATCCATGTTCTGTAAATACATGTGTGTGCATATGTTTAAGAGTATGTGCATCAAAAGCTCTGTAACTAAATATGTAGGGCCAGATTTCTAAAATGCAGAGACTAATTCACTGTTAAGAGCAGATATTGTGGTGGTAAAATGTGTGCTCATTCATAAAAGAGGATCACCCGTATGTTTATTGCTTACGTGACGTGGGGTGTGGCGACGTATTTCCTTAATTTACATATGGCAGTAGCGATTCATAACACGACACAGTCCAAAAAAAAAAAAACCCTGAATCACTTAGAAATTTTCCAGGTAAGAAGAAGATATCGGGTTAAATGACATTTTCTACAGTGTTTCCAAACATTGTAGACAATTTGCAGATGCCAGTATTATAATACAAGTTTGGACACACATGCAACATATCGCACATACACTCTCTCT